ATTGATTGATATATTAATCTATCAAATCCATAAAAGGTTTTGTTTGTCCCTTAAGAAAATGCAATAATTTAAATTCTTACACAAATTGCATTATTTGCCTATGTATATATTTGGTAAGTTATACCTATAATTAATAACTATTAATACCATTAAAATTGATTAGAATTTATATAATTCTATAATTTACATAATAAAATGTATTTAAGGAGTGACGTCGCCTTGCATTGTGTCATATTTTTGAGAGTTCTCTCCTCTGATTATGCACCGTTAAATCTGGTAAAGTTCTTTCTTTATTTCTCTCTCTCCCCCCATTAAATGGACAACACAGTTGACCAACAAGATTCTGAAATTAATGTGACAGAAGAAGAGGAAGCTAAAAAAAAAGATAATATAGAGAATGTGGAAGAAAAAAAAGAAGTAGTAATAATTAAAAAGGGAAAAGAGGATAACCTGATAGTTGATTCTACAGATATATCGATAACTGAAACTGTTTTAGTGCAGAAAGATGTTGTTGAAGGTAACACCAACCAGTCAAGTACGGCAGAAGAAAAACCAACAAGTAACTTATTTGGTCCACTTAAATCAGAACAACAATTAATAGAATTACAACAATTTACAGGAAAAGAACAAAGACAACAAATGCGACAAGAACAGTTAACGGAACAAGAACAACGACAGTTAACAGAACAACAAAAACAGCAACAGTTAACGGATAACGTATTATTTACCACTTCACCTAATTCTGGAGGAGATATTTTCACTTCAAATAATTCAAAAAATAATTCTTATTATAATAATAAACCTACAATGTTTTCTAAACCTGAAAATCAAATAGCTTCAGATTCTCAATCTCAAGCTTTTTATTCAGAAACAACAACAGATATTGACCCCAAACATTTAGTAGAAATTTCTGAAGACGGGATGTTATCTTTAAGACATGTTGAATTAGAAAATTCGAATTCAAATTCAAATAATTCAAATTCAAATTATTCATCATTAATAAGTCCAGGTTTACCCGTTGAACCTTTATCATCAAATACTAGTAATTCAAATATTATATTATTACCTAAACAAATTATTCGAATAGAAAGAGATTATTGTAAAGGAGAATTATGTCAATTTCAAGATTCTTTCCCTGTGGAGATTGATGGACGGGTATGAAAAAAAAAAAAAAAAGAGAGAATATATATATTTATTTTTTTATTATAATTGAAATCAAGATATTTATATAGAATTATTTTCTTATTTTCTTTATTTCTTTCCTTATTATCTTCATTATTTTTGTTGCTGTTATTTATTATTTTTTAATATTTCTTATAGGTAAATCCAAGACGATTTCAACGAACAATAAATACATTAAATCAAAAATTGGAAAAGGCATTTGACCCAAAATATAATTGCCTAGATAATTTTCTCGCTTGTGTAACAATATATACATCAACGTTATGCATTCGGCCACACTTTGAGAAGGTAAATTGATATTAAGACCGTGTTTAATTCATTTTTTATAATCAATTTTTTTTTTTCAAATTCATTTTTAGTTCAATCTTTAAAAATTCATTTTTCATTAATTCTTTTAGATGATTGAAGACATATGTATATTTTTAGATAATGAGAATCAGACCATATATAATCCGAATGGACTTAATTTTCGAAATCCACAAAGAACTTCGTTTTTATTTGTATCCTTTATATATATACGTGTGTGCGTGTGTTTGTTCGTGCGTGTGAAATTCATTAGTTCTTTTTTTTTTGTTTATATTCATTTTCATTTTAAATCCTTAACTTCAAATTATTAATCTTAAATTATGATAATTTCAGCTCGAACTTGAATTTTATTAGATATCACATTCTCGCTGTACTTATTTATTTATTTTATTATTTTCTTTATTTTTTTGTATATCAATAATGTAAATTCATTTTCATAGATCTTATATATACATTGGGGTTTTCTTCTCTTCCTACCACCACTACTACTTTTATTACTACTTCTATTACTACTTTTTATTATTACTTTTCTATTTCTACTTTTTATTACTACTACATCAATCAATCAATCAACAACCACCCCTTGATTTTAAAAAAAAAATAATATTAAATATTAAATGTTAATAATAATAATAATAATTTTGTGAACTATATATAAAATATGTATACAAAAGAAAAAAATAAGTGAGATGGAGATTAAATACATTATTTATTTATTTTTTTAATGAATTTTTTTTTATTTTTGAAATATTTGAAGATTATTAAATATAATCTGGAGTTTTTGGTTTATTTTTTTTTAAATAGATTTTATTTTTTGTATTTTTAACATTCATTTTTTTTTATCTAAATTCAAATTTCAATCAATTTTGTCAATTTTATAAGTTTTATCAATTTCATCATCTTTTAACAAAGAAAGTAATCCCAAATCTGTTTCCTCATCAATTTTCTCTATTTCTTCAACTTTTACCTTATTTTCATACTCTTTATCTTTAGAATTAGAACCAAGAGAATCAGGAGGAGGGTTGGGTTTTATGATTTGATCTGATCCAGGATATTTTTTTCCATGTGAAGTTCCTTCTAATATATCATAAATTTGATTTAATCTTTTTAATACTTCTTCATCACTAACTCCACCTCCCATTTCATTATAATCCATTTGCATATCATCTAATGTATTCGTGTAAACTCGTTGTGTTTTATTAAAAGCTTCATCAATTTTAGAATCTAAATTATTTAATGTTACAAAACTTGATGTACGATGATATAAATCAATTAAATGATTTAATCTTTCTTGTCGTTTTCGTTTTTGTAATAAATTAAATTTCTCAATTCCTCTTTCTCGTTTTAATCCTCTATAATCAGGTGGTATCATACATTTTGTAGATGATAATGATAAAATTCCCGAAGTTTCTTGTAATTTTTTTAAATCGGCTTCCCGTTCTGCTCTTATTTTTTGACGCCAAACATTTTGATTTTTTAAAAGATCTTTAGGTGTGGTATAAATTGTTGTTGATGTTTCATCTTTAATATCATTGGATACATTGGTTATTTCTAATTTTTTATTATTAATTTCATCATTTTTTTGTAAATTATTATTATTTAAATTATTATTTTTTATTTTATTTTTATTATTATTATTATTATTATTCTTATTCTTATTATCACCTAGAGAAAATTTACTATTATCAATAATTCGAGAAATATTTTTATTATCTTGAGAATCAATTGATGATACTGCTAATCCTAATTCCAATTTATATTTAAATCTTAATAATTTTAATTCATCTTTATATCTTTTCGCATCATTATTATATTTATTTTCTGAAATTTTTGGTGGATCTATAATTGGTACAGTTCTTTTTTTACCATCAACATATATAACCGTTTCTTTTGGTATATTATTATTTTTATTATTATCTTGGAATTTTTCTTCAAAATTATTTATAACTTTGTTTGAACTATTATTGGAATTATTGGGAATATTGGTAACATTAGTAACAGTGACTTTTTTATTTCTCCTTTCCTTGGCTTCTTGTTTGTATTCCTTTTTTCTCTTGTTTTTTACTGGTGGTGGTGGTGGTGAAAAACCTGGCGCATATCCATACTTACCTTTTTTATACTTATCAGAATTATTTGAATTATTATTATTTTCTGTTATTGTACTAATATTATTCGAACACAAAAGTAATTTTGAAATCTTTCTATTTAATAATATTGTAGATTTAAAATGTTGTCTTTTTACAAGTTGAAAACTCATCATTTTTTTAAAAAAAAAAAAAATCGATAAAAAATATTTATCTAAATATTTAAAATAATTGTAATCTAAAAATTTATTGATCGAGTAACCAATAAGAAAATGGCCAAATTTTTTG